TTAAACTCTTCCAATAAAGGAGGAAACACAAATCCATTCTATGAAGCCAGTTTATTAGCCTGATACCAAAGCCAGATGTCATCACAAGAAAAATAGAGACCAAAACTGAATGTATCTCAGTGGTATCGCACTTGCCTTGCATGCATGAGGTCCCAGATTTGATTACTAGCACCACAAAAGAAAAAAAGTAAAAATTAGAGACCTAATCCCTTATGAAAACACAACAGTCTAACATAAACTTGTGTTGAGAGCATTATTCATAATACTCAAAAGCAGAACCACCAAATGTTCAACTGATGAGTAGATAAACAAAATGTTATATGAGAGAATTTTACTCAGCCATATAAAAGGACTGATACATGCTACAACATGGATTAAACTTGAAAGTACTTGCTAAACAAAAGAAACCAAACATAAAAACCCTACATATAGGGGCTGGTGTTGTAGCTCAGTGGAAGAGTGCCTGCCCAGCATGTGTGAGGCACTGGGTTTGATTCTCAGCAGTACCACATTAAAATAAATAAAGTAAAAGTATCCTGTCCATCTACAACAACAAAATTTTAAAAACTCACATACTGTATGATTCTTCTTAAAATGAAATGCCCAGTACTGGTAAATCCTTAGATAGAAAGTAGAAGAGTAGTTGGTAGGAGTTAAAGAGAAGAGGTATAGAATGAGTACTTAAATGGATATGAGGTTCCTTTCTGTTTTGTTGAAGATGTTCTGGAATTAGATAGTGGTGATGGTTGCACAATATTGTTAGTATATTGGAAGCCACTGAATTGTACACTTCAAAATTGCTAAAATGCTAAATTTTGTTTTATGAATTTAACCTCAATTAAAAAAAAAATCTATGAGATACCAGTTCAAACCTTGTGTGTGATAAAGATGTGCAATAGGTAGGACTCTCATACACTGCTGCTGGAGGAAGAGTTAAAAAATTCAGTAGTTTCTCATACTATGAAATAATCAGTTATTATCMGATCTAGCAATCCAAGAGAAATAAAAGTGTGTCCCACACCCCGCAAAAAAAAAAAGAACACTTGTATACAATGTTCATAGCAGGATTATTCACAGCAGGATTATTCCTAACAGCCCCAAATAGAGACTAAATATGCATCAATAGGTAAATAGATAATCAAACTCCTACTTACACACAATGAAACACTAGTCAGCAATAAAAAAGAAGAAACTGAGACATATAACATCAATGAATYACAAAAATAATTAAATACTATATAATGAAAAATAATTAACCTAAAGAATACAAATTCTATCATTCATAATAAAGCTGAAACAATTGTTTCAGGCACAATTGTTCTATAATAATAGAAATCAGAAGAGYGCTTATTTCTGGTTGAAAAGGGGAGACTGGAAAGAGGAATGAAGTATTCTCAGATGAACAAATATTCTACATTTTGAGGAACTGCCAAACTATTTTCCATATGGCTGCACCACTTTCCCACTGGAGTGATAATAGATAATAGATACTTGTTAGAATTTATCAATATGTATGCTTAAAATGAGTGCACTTTCTACATGCTGATTAATATCACTGGAAAAATTTTAATTTTATATGAACATCTATGGGTCTTATATTAGTTTATGGGTTTGCACCCATATCACTGACGTTGCACACTRTTGCTCAAAAAATACAGAAGGAATGCAGGAAGTAGGGTAGGTAAACTGTTTTATGGTCATGGTCAAATGTGTTTAGTGCTTTCCTAAAGGAATTTATAACAGTTCAGGATGTAAGATACAGTCTTTGAAATAGTTAATTATCTATAACAGCTGTTACAGCAGCCTCTAAATTTTTGTCTCAGGAAAATCTACTTCTAAATTCTGAATCCTCTTATCTTGCTTATTCCCCATTTTTGTTCCTTCACTTAGGTTATATTTAAGTATTTGATAAGGTCAAATTTACCGTTTCCCAGTCCACCTTCACCTAAAACAGAATTCAGTACTATGACCACTAACCAATTTTATCCTTTTATATGCTTAGTCCACAAAACTAAGAACTTAATCTTGAAGAATTTATGTCCTCCATTTACCAGTGTAGTGAGACTATAAAATATTTTTTAAAATAATAAAAATGGGAACAGAAAACATTTCAGAAGTAACACCAATAATTGGCAAATGAATCAAACAGGAATGACTATTGATGGCCCCAAATGAACAGGATATAAAGGTTGACACTAAGCTAGGTTTGCTATAGATAGGAAAGAGAATAACTACTACCCACGAGAAGAGACTTAACAAAAGAAAAGAGGACAGTGATAAATATTGCAGAACTAATTTGTCTAAGTCTCTACAATGTAAAGTTTATATTTGGATATGTGTGACATAATATGAGAAAGCAGATTAGTTCTCATTTGATAATCACAAAAAGTTATAGACTGACCTTCATTTACATGTGAGGAAATTCTAAAGTAGGTTAATATTTGTCCAAGGTCATGAAACTACTTAAAGTACTGAAAGAAATTCATTTCTCTTGATTCATAGCCAAATGTTCATTTAATTAGATGATTCTGTTTAATATTCTTTAATTTTTCCTCAATAGAACTCTTTAACCAGCCAGGTGTGGTGGTACATGCCTGTAATCCCAGCTACTTTGGAGRCTATCACAGAAGAYTGATATCAAATTTGAGGTCAGCCTGCGCAATTTAGGGAAACCCTATTTCAAAATGTTAAAAAGGGCTTGGTGTGTAGAGCAGTTGCCTAGCATGTGCAAGGCCCTGGGCTTAATCCCCAACCCCTTCTATCCCCCACCACACATAAAAGAACTCTTTAAGCAAGCTTCTCACCACAAATAAACCTGCCCCATTCCYCTCTTCTTGAATGTAAACCCTTCATCTGAAGGGTTCTTTTTCTAGCCCATTTTGAAGTTCTACTTTAACACARACCTCATGCTTTTAGCAACAGACTTGATTATTGAGATGATGGGTAAGGAAATTTCTATCTTCACTGATTATMGGTATATGACTAAATCCTTCCTGTGGCTACTAAAAGATTTGGGTTCCAATAATAACATTTTTAAGAACCTTGGATGATATATTGAAAACTATCCAATAAGGCAGATTTTCTGCTTATTCAGGGCTTAGAATTATCATTGTGATGCAGTTATGGKACCAGTAATGAGTGACTCTACAGCACAGGCTGCAACTTTTACTGTCCTGCTTCACTTAATAAGAAACATGACTTGTCTTTCATTAGAAAGAACATAAATGAACTGTCATTATTAATTTTCTTTAGTAGAAACACACTTAAAACTTTCCCATATCTTTTAAACTTTCCAAAGACCCAAACTTCTTTTCTTATCACCACATTTTCCCACACTGACAAATTTCTTGACAGTATAATCAAACTGTCTCAACTTCAAATTTATCATTTTTATCTAGTATTTGCCTTTACCACATGCTCATATTCTCATTAAATAAACCAGTGATATTTCCCATACTAAAATCAAAGGCCTATTTTTCAAGTGTTAGCCTTTTTGAATTTGAGGGTGGAAGAGTTGGTGCAAAGTTCACCAGAATGACTGAGCTTTTACTGTATGCAAGGCACTGTAGTGATTAAACTTTCAAAAATGTTGCACTTAATCCTCCCAACAGCTCTCACAAGTATTACCTCATTTTCACAGATTAAATTTGAGGCTTAAAATTATCCATATCCAAATAGCTTAGCGAAACCCAAACAATCTCAATGTTTGTCAATGTTTGACTTAAGTTTTGTTCCCAGTTCTCTTCCCAACTCTGAGGCCTTTTCCCCCTTTTTATCATCCTCTGCACATCATTACTTGCTTTATTTATGTGCCCTATTGGGCAATTTCATTTCCTTCTATGGCTTTAACTGTATTCTCTGTTAGTGTTCCTGGAACTTTTAAATCTTTCTTACAGACAAAATCTTGATGCTCTTTTTGTACTTGGTTTTGAAAATACATGATCTTTTTCTCAGAAATTATAATAAATATCCCCAACAAACTTTAATAAAGTTGCACCATTGTAGCTCCAGGTTCTTCAACCTAAACCTTTCCAAAACAAAATTCACATTTCTTCTTAGCAAACTTATCCATCTCGGTGTTCACCATTTTGGTTAACAGTGTCACAATCCATCTTTGTCTGTGTTTCAAKAAACCTTTTTGCAAAACGGTTATATTGACATTCTCTTCCTTCCCTGAGCTGAGATCAAAAATCAGTCACTATACAATTCCTACTATGGCCAGAACTAAAGGAATGCAAAACAAGACAAAATACAATCCTGTTCTTTAAGCAGTTAACCAGAAGAAACATACCAAAAATTTTTTTTTGGTATTTTCCCATTTATAAAACATTTCACAAACATTTAAATTTAATCTTTACGATATTCACATCACCATCCCCATTTTACAGATTAAAAAACTGAGACTTCATTTTCCACTCTTTTTTATTGTTCAAATAAACTTACACAAAAAAAGGAAATTGCTCTGTACTGAACAAAAGTCAACAGAGCACCGCACACAGCCAAACACCAAAGTGCACCGATCGTCCTGAACGCGTTCTGGGACTGTCCACTTTGTGAGGGCGACCGACCTGGCCCCCGGCGCCCTCCGGCAGCCCTCGCCCCAGGAAGTCCCTGTGAGGCCAGCCTGCACCCGGCGGGGTCTGCGGGAAAACCTCGCTCTGCGGCTCGGAGTGCGCCTAGCGAGGGCTGTCACCGCTCAACTCGGCCAGCTCTGGCCAGCTCTGAGGCTGAGTGCAGGCTGGGCAGCAGTCACCGCGCCTCCAGCCTGGCGGATCGCCGACCTGCGGAAAAGGAGCGTACCTGGTGGAGAGGCGGCTAGAGGGTCAGCGGGCCCAGCAGACCTAGAAGGCGAGAAGGAGCCWGGCGGCAGCCTGGCCGACCTCGGCCGCTGCCAACTGCATCCACTACTCTCGGTCAACACCGAGCCACATGGATTCCTCAGATTATGCCGGACCCAGAAACCAAAGGCAGAGAGAGCCGGGGTTTGAAGCAAAAAGGGCATCGCGGTGGGGGCGGGGCGAAGGCGGAGACACGATCTGGGGGCGGGGCGCAAAGGGGCGGGGCTACGTCACCAGGAGGCCGGCGCGAGGGAGCCAGGCGCTCGTCGGGAGGGAGAGGGACACCAGGAGGCGGGCACAAGAGGGCTGGGTGCGCATCACGAAGTGGCGGCCACTAGGGGGCGGCCACGAGGACACAGCGCGTCACCAGGAGGCGGGCGCGAAAGGGGCGGGCACGTGGAGCGAGCGCGAGGCGGGGCGCGGCGCGAGAGGGCGGGGCGCGCGTATCGTCGCCGCGGCCGCGTGACGCGTTTTCAAATCTTCAACCGCCGCAGCCCACTCGTTTGTGCTTTTTCCCTTTCCTCCTCCGCGCCTCGGAGCCGGACCCGTCCCCGGAAACTCGGCCTGCGGACCCGGCACCTTTGCTGCGTGGAAACCTCGGCGGACGAAAGGAAAGAGCGGGCCGTCCTGTCAACCGGGCCGGAGAAGCCTTGTTTTCGCGGCCGTCTGACGCCGCACCCGGGCCGGACCCAGCATGTAGGTGCCGGGCGGCTGCCATGAACTCCGGAGCCATGAGGATCCACAGCAAAGGACATTTCCAGGGTACGAAGCCCCTCCTCCGCCTGCTGTCCCTTTAATCTTCCTCCTCCCATGGTTCCACCATTGATCTTCAAGAGTTCTCCCGCCAGGTCCGCTGCTGCTTTGCTTTCCTGCCTGTCCTTCTCTGACCTGGAGGAAGGCTCATTCAGGGTTTTGCCTCAGAAAGGGAACGGTTTCCACGGCTCCTCGCGCTCTCCGGTCCCCGTCGCGGCCCCACATTCCCGGTGCGCGGGTGGGTGAAAACCTGCAGCGTGCCGACCCGGGAACCTGCCGGGTCTCGCGGGGCCTTCAGTTTAAAGGCCGAGGTGTTTGTGCCTTTTCTCTTCCTCATTAGATTGTATGATTCTGGTTGGGTTTCTTGTCTTTAAATCATAGTTAAGGGACACTATTTGTATTTCAAACAGACCCATTGTTGGTTGCAACTTAATAGTGAGACAAAAGCAAATTTCCATTTTATTTGGCAAAAGCACTTAAGCATCTGAAGTCATTCCTATATGTGAGTATGTAGTAACCACCAAGAAATAGATTCCAAAAATTTAAAGCAATTGCTTGCATCTGAGATGTTTTCAAAAATAATGGAATGAATGGTGATGTAGTCCTAAATGGACCATTAAGTTCTTTTTTTTAAAATTTGTTTTAATTAGTTACACATCACAGTACAATGATCTTGACATATCATGCATTTGAATCAGATGGGGTATAATTTCTCATTTTTCTTGAGTGTACAGGTTGCAGAATCACATTGGTCATGCCTAAATGGACCATTAAGTTCTTAATATCTATATAAATGTGATTGAAATGATTCATTTAGTTCTTTTTAATAAAAGGCTTTATGTGAAACTTAAACTTGAGCTRAGTCAGTAATACTGTCTTGAAGACAAGGTCATTCTAGATAACAGGTTGTTTGGGTCGCTGTTCAACATTGTAAGCACCAATTTTGAATGTATACCAGAGTAGTGGAGGAAGGACCCCGATGGAGTTTACAAACCTAAGAGTCTTTCAAAAAGGGCTTATGTAGTCCCATGCTTTAATACACTCAACAGGAATTTTTCCTGCCGATTTCAGCTGTTATTTTATAATATGAAATCTATGAACACATGCAGGGCATTTCACCTTTACCTAAAACTACTACAGAAAAGTACATTTAAACACTGATGACAAAAAATAATGTAATTATTTTTCTTGAGGTATTATTGCGTATGAAATATTTTTAAAATAGTAAAATCTTGTCTGTACAAAACATGATCTAATAAACATTTTTAATAATAGGTGGAATCCAAGTCAAAAATGAAAAGAATAGACCATCTTTGAAATCTCTGAAAACTGATAACAGAACAGAAAAATCCAAATATAAGCCACTTTGGGGAAAAGTGTTTTACCTTGACTTACCTTCTGTCACCATATCTGAAAAACTGCAAAAGGACATAAAGGACCTGGGAGGGGTAAGTGAAAATCAATCGTACACTAACAAGAAAATATTTATAGCTAGTACTTTCAAATATGTAATCATTTTAGTTTTTTATTTTACAAAATTTATGACCACCTTATCAGCACCAAGTTTAAAATTTTTACCAGCTATTTACAGAAAACCATTTGAGGACTAGAGATGTAGTTCAGTGGTTGCCTGAAAGCATCTCTGGGCTCAATCCCCAGTATTAAAAAAAAAAAGAAAGAAAAATCATTTGTTCTGACCTTTTATAGCTTGACAAAACTTCAGGTTTTGGTGATTAGTAGTCTTGTGTAAATTAAGTGTAAAAATGAGACTGCCAGGTATGATAGCGCACACCTGTAATCCCAGCAACTCAAGAGGCTGAGGCAGGAGGATTACAAGTTTAAGGTTAGCCTCAGCAAGTTAGTGAGATCCTGTTTCAAAATAAAAAGGACTGGCAATATTGCTCAGTAGTAAAGCAGCCCTGGGTTCAATGACTGGTACCAAAAAAGAGAGAGAGAGAGAGAGACTCTCTTTTCCTATTGGAACTGTTTATTGCCGTCTATATATACTGTTATGTTGTCCTCCAAATAGCAGAAACTCTTTGATGATGATTATTGGGAGACCACCACATCGAGTTAAATCTTCTTTCCTACCTTATACATTGATTAGATGATTCCTACTGGATTTCAAGTTTCTAAAGGTCAGCACCTTTAAATATCTGAACTGTTCATTTCATTGTGAGACTAGAAGCTCAGAAAAACATTTAACAAGTTGCCTAGAACTATTTGTCGATGTTATTTTACTTAACCTGAAYGTCATGTAATAGACTTGCCACCATAATGACTACACACATCACCTATGAAGATTATCTTCACATGTTAAAGAACCTGAGTAAAGTCTCCATTTCAGAAATGAAGTATTTGAGATCCAGAAAAATTAGATGGCTGGCCCTATCAGAGTAATATTAACCTCTTCCCAGAGTAACATAGTACTGTAGTATTCTGTTCTAGCAAACAGTGGCTACAAAGTAGCTGTTTAATATAGTTTGACAGCTTTCTCAAATATGATAATCAATCCGTTCTATTAACCTGAGGTTTAATGGTCTAAATCAGTGAGGTTTGTTTTCTTAGCAGTAGAACYCTTCAGACAAAATCATATATAGCAATCTAATGTGGAAAGCCTGTAAAAATGGAACTCTCCCAAAATACAGTGTCTAGGGCAAAAACCACTTGCCCTGACCTCTTTCTTTTCTCCACTGTCCCCACAACTATTCCTGAGGTATTCGCAAGAAACAAAAATTTGAATTATTTCTGCCATAAAAACAAAAATTTGAATTATTTCTGCCATACATTGAGGAACACTTTAAACTTTATGCTAACATGGTTTAAAATACATCAATGTGCATATTAAGGGCATAAGTTTCCAATTTCCCACCCTGAACTATAGATTTTTCAGTTGAATTTGCTTTATTAACTTCTTATTTATTTATTTATTTTAAGATTTACTTATTGAATTCTGATCTCTCCCACACACACACATACTGTCTTTCTTTTATGAAATTCAATGATGTTCATTCTTTGGGTGCTGATTTCTGACTCTAGCACATTTCCTGTTTTGGTCACTAAAACAATATTGTCATAAAGCTGTCCTCTATGAACTATAAAAGAACCTCGACCTCTGGGTAATTTTAAAGAGTTTTAGGATTCAGTTTTATGAAATATTAATTATGTTATATATTTCGCTAAGGATTGTACTTCATATTTTTAGTTTTACATAGGTCTTTTATCTTGCTTTAAATATCATCCCTGATCCTGACTTTTTGTTTAATTGACCACTTTATATATTGGCTTTTTCTAGTGTTGGTAAATTCATGTTAATACCCCATTTATCTCCACAGAGTACTTTTGATAAATTCAGCCACTAAAAAGCATAGCAGTAAATTCTGACGCAGTGGGGAAAAATATTTAATAGTGGCTAGAAAAGTAGTAGCTATAAAACCATCTCAGAAGGACATAGAACCGGTGACATTTGTAAACAGTTTAGGTTGAAAGAAGGCAGTTGGAGAAGAAACAGAAATGTAAGGGCAGATATTTTGCCATACATATCATGAGTTTGAGTACATAGTTAAATATTTGATATTCATTTTCATGACCTAGAGTTATCTGGAAATAAGTTTTGAGTTTATTCTTCAAAAGGCATAGATTAACAATTTCTAATAAGTTGAAGACCATGATAGAACAAATTCAACAATCATTGGATTGTGGCATGCAAGGCACAGCATTGTGTGTTTTAGTACTTTAAAAAATGAACCCTGTGTCCATCAACCAGCCTGTCTTAAAGTTCTAATCTAGATAGAGAAGGCATGGATACAGTTAATTGTAATACAACATAAAATATCAAAAGGAGGAGGAGATTACTTCCTGCTGAGGAATTGTGGAGCACATTGTACAGATACAATTTGAACTCTGTTGAAAAATGATTTAAGATTTAGGTAGGCATTTGAAAATTCAGAAATTTTTCCATCACTGTCTTCTATGTGCCAGCACTATTTTAGATTGTTGAGGGTATAAAAATAAGTAATGTGTAGTCCAGTCCTCTAAGAACTCAGTCTAGTTGGAACACCAGATAACTAAATAAAATAACTTATAGTAGAGCATTGTCAAAAAATATGTGGAAATTGTTATTAGAACACAGATAGGAATCATAGCATAGATAATGTTTGAGCTAGGTTTTGAAAACCTTGTAGGGAATATACCAGTCAAAATGGACATATATATTAGAGGAAACAGCATATTTAAAATATATGTCAGTATAGGGATTCTTTTATTTTTTATTTTTTGGTACAGGGATGAAACCCTGGGGTACTCAACCACCGAGCCATATCCCCAGCCCTTTTTTGTGTTTTTTTTTTTTTTTTTTTTATTTAGAGACAGGATCTCACTGAGTTATTTATGGCCTCGCTAAGTTGCTGG